ACAAGATTACAAATTTGCAATGATTATTTGCAAAAGACTGCCCCGCACTGATCATTACTGTCACTATACTTTTTCCTTGGTCCGTTGTATTAAGTCAATCATATTTTTACAGGCACCAGGAGTTGTGTAACTTTTGATTCTGTGTAAATTTTTCTTAAAGGTATTTCACATGTAGAGAAAAATTTTACCTTTATTNACACACAGGAACACCAAATAAGGACTACTCAAATTATCAAACATCTGCGAAAATACGAATGAGATCAGTCAAAGTTAACCAGTCTAGTTGAATTATTGATTTCTTCAAGATATTGGTAGTCAATTATGTGACCAATCTGTGCGAGTTTCAACTCCCTTCGTGAATGCCGGCGATTTTAGTCTTAATCGCTACACAAGATAGCGATCAATCATAGCTGGAGAGAACTAACTAGAATGAAACAGCGCACCATGTCATTCATCACACCATAGTTTAATCGTATAACATCGAAATATCTTGAAATTTCTTTTTATTCTTTATCTTGTGTTAATGTATTTATTTTTTTCAAATTTCTTAATTTATGGGATACGCTAACAATACTTCCATGCGCTGACGTCTAAACTGAAGGGTTGGCACCTGGATGCGAATATTCTGTTAAGTGTACAAGCAAAGGTGGTGGTGGCACAGTGGTTTAGTCAGTCACCCGCGTGCTTTGGACCATATGGTCCGAGGTTTGATCCCCGCCAACGCCACCCAACTTTGGTGGCAGGCGGCTTCGCTGTCGTTCGGTTCAACACCACGCCTGACCTATCGGGGCCTTATGTGGTTCGCCACTCCAAGTTCCGGGGCTTAGGTTGTCGATTTCAACCACTTAACAACAGGTCTTCGTGACTATGGGGTTTATCCTGTCTGCTGTTCATCACACCTGGGTGTGTAATAATATATATATATCTTCCCTAATTCAGTGTTTTCAGGAAATCGATTTTCCTCCATCTAAAACAGTTTCCATTCCGTTTGTCCAGGCTTTGTTTTTGATTATAATAGAAACTGTTCAATTATTTAGTAAAACCCAGATGACCGGATCGATCTTGTAATAAATGTTCATGTCCGTCAAACACAATAATACCCTTTTCTCAAATAGATGGCAAAAATTCTCCCCACAGAAGAAAACTTTCTTCTACTGTTTCACCGGGATAATCATCTGGAATCAAGTGTTGAATTTATGAAGGTAAGTTGGCTTCTCAAGAAATACTAAACTCATTGATTGCCTACCAAGGTACAGACGTATGAGCTCGTAAATTTCACAAAGAACAAAACAACAAAAAAATTAAGCTCTTGACCTACCTCGTGCAAAAGATTACTGATACAAGTACATATAACTCAACTCAACAGGCTTTAAGATATGGAACCTATTATTCTTATGATACTATGAATTGATTATAAACAAATTAGTTTGTGTTGCGCATTTTTAATTTGTATTAAACAAAAATCAATAAGATGGCCACGATTATGCAAAGGCAGCCTTGGATAAAACATAATGAGAAGACGTAGGGCAATGATGAGACTTAAACCCAGGAGCTGTCCTATAAGTTGATGATCTTTATATTAAGAACACGGTCGCCCATGAGGACAATTACTCGAGGAAATTTTTGTGCAGTTTCCTCATGATTTCCGAAAGAGGTTTTATAGTATATCCACCCAAGTTTAAAGCAGTGTTTCATTATCAGAGTAGCAAGCTTGGATTAGCTCATTATTTAGAGGCACCAGGCACTCACTTATCGGTGAGATGTTCACTCTTTGGTAGATCGGTAATTCCTCTCACGTTGAATGCATTTACATGCGACGGAAATGTTTGTGATAATCGACAAAGAGCACTGAACAGCTGCTTCTTTCTTTTTGGGACTCGTCAACAGTGTGTACGTTTTGTCTCCCTGTCAGGACTCGAACCGCGGACTTTCGAGTAGGAACTTCAATCCCTTACCCCCTGAGCTAGACGGTCGGCGGTCAATACCTGGTGCGAATGGCTCAATCGGTTTCAGAGTATCAAGCTGTCCTACCTATTCCAACACTGATTTTGTGATGAAAATTCACCTGTTACGTACAGTCAGCATAGTATTATATAATTTTAACCAAGTACCAATTTCTATAGACAGAAAGTAACGCATAGCCTGGTGAATATTACCGATTTTAGCATTAAAAAATGCAGCGAGAGGAAACTTCAACTCGTGAGTACAAACGCATTACTCTGGATGCCAGAATACACGACGCAGTTCAGTGGAAAAAGAACAAACGTTTTTCCAAAAGAGTTTGTAAATAAGGAACATTTATCTCATCATTCTGAAAAAAGGATTTCACTTGATTTTGACTGCGATCGCTCTTGATATTCCGCGTGCTCAAAAACAGTTTTCCACAGTTTTTCACCTGTTTAAATCACTCGCGTGACATCCCGCAAATCCTGGTGCTAATAAACTGTTCACCGCCATTATGCATGTGAATTCCACAGGTCTGGAAACGGTTTGATAAAGATCGTAGTGGATACATTGAAGCGGACGAACTGAAAGTGAGTTACCTATCTGAAATGCGGTGTTTTGTTCAAACGAACTTCATTGATGGCGACAATGATCGGGTATACAATTCAACAAGAAGAACTTTCAATCTGTGAGGTTTGCCTTTTAACAAACGTAGGACAAATTGAATGAAATTTGTTTAAACTTTATTCACAAAATTATAAATCAAGCTAATTTGTTTTGAGTGTTGACTATCATACAAATGTTTGTTCTGTTGTCTATATTGTACTTTTTACCATTTTTAAGAGCAAACCTCCATTATTATTTCCTCAGTGCGTATTTTATCGTGCTCTATCAAATGTAACTATTTAATGGAACTGGCATATAAAACAACATACTGTCTTGGTCACCCTGAATTCCATATATGTTTGAGAGAATAGTATGCGGAGAATCTCAATCCGCATGAATTCGAGGACTGGGAAGCCACAGATTGAGTATTATTTATGCGCAATTCGGTTCAAAATTGATTGCAAATGTTGCTCGCTTCAAAATATATTGAATATCATTTGCATCAGTTCAATCAATAATCGTAAATCTATTTCACTGTTGTATCATGCTTGCAACTCAGCCTCGAATTGTTTAAGTATTTTCTACCTCAGTTTGTTTTCTCTGTTTCAATCATAATGGTTTGAGTATGTGAAATTATTTTTGAAATTTCAGTCAACATATTGACATAACGATTAATCAACTAGTACTTAACGGAGGGGACTAACAGGGCTGCAATTCAAAACGCATAATGCAGATCACTCCAACTTAAATTGCTAGGACAGCGGGTTCGGAACGTCAAAATTATCGTTAGTGAGTGGTTTGTTGCTCATAACTCAGAAATCCCCGTTTAAAATATTAAAACAACATAAGAACTCTAAGAAATGCATATATATGAGTTTAGTAGTTTCAAGTATGATAATCCTCTAGCCAATTTTACGGATCAAATTATGTGACATAATAGTCTATTACAATCATTTAACCCGATCTTCACAAAGTATGTATACACAATGTTATTCTTCGTGAAATAAGACTGTCAATGGACTTGTGGATAGGTGAAACGAGTTATCCCTTTCTGTTAAGTTGAACGACTTGAAAAATTACCTTCAAACGTAAACTATCGAATGCTGTCCATTGCCTATATGATCATGTCTAATCTAACGGTAACACATCTTACAATAACTCTTAAGCATATTTGAATTGAGAGAAAAATGTATGCAACCATGAATAGATGTTACACAGCTCCTGGCCCCCAGCTCGACTCTCATCTAAGCTTTTTCCGTTTTCCAACATACTAATCAAACATTCATGTAGGCAAATGATGTTATCTGAAAGCGAAGTATTTTTCAGGAAATCATACTGTTTTTTTGTTTTACTGATTGTCTGAGCTTAACCGTTTTCTCATACAACAATTTGGGTTTTTTTTCAAAAACAAAGGAATCTTTGTTCACTCAAATGTTTTGAACAAACACTCAGACATGACAATCAGCGGCAAACATTCACAGAAAAACTAACACCAACGAAATCTACCGACTGCATAGAAATATTCACTACCAAGCTTTACGTTAATCTACATGATAAAATTAAAGTACTTCTCGTCAGTCACCCAAAATCTGTGTGACCTCAACTCCCCGGACCTGCAAGTATCATCAACATCCTATTTTGGACACACAGTTGTCCGACCATTTCAAAGAATTAACATATTAACTATATTTGAACACTATATTTATTGTCACTTGGAATGTTGTAAACAGAAACCGCAGACATAACCACCTTTGTAGACCCAAAAGATATTTCCAAGTTTGTCTGAATACTGACCAATGTCATTTTTGCGCGCGCTAGATAACTTTAGTCTACAATGTGCTTTTTTCACTCGGGAAACAAAAACAAATTGGTTGTGGGTCTGGCTACTGTTCTTTTTTCTCACAACTGTCAATGAGAAATAAAACATCGTCACTGGAGTTCTTGGTTATTTAGGTGCCTTGTTTCAAAAATTCTCCAACTGGTTACTATGACCAACTACAACTTATCCGTCTACCATTCACCCAAATCATCTTACTCCATGTGTGGTTCACATGAAAGGAACAAATATAAGTACGTGAGCAGAAATGCAGACGGTCATCGGCGTGTGTGTGTGTAAGCGCTGAATTTTTCAGTCAAATAAAAGGGGCATGAACCTCAGTCTAATTAGAATGGACCAAATAAAATAACAATCTGGTGGCTGTAATTTCCCAAACTCATTTAGACTTTAGTGCACTAACAATGGGGAGGTATGTTGAGAAACAGGCGGACGGTCATGTGATGCACACAGATCAAACCGCGACGGAGTTTAATCCGATGGTTGTCCCGAGTTTGCAAACATTTCGACGGAGTCATCTAAACTGCAATAAGTGCACAGGCTCGAAAAATTCTCTCTTTCTTTAATTTAAAGTATTGGTATAATAAAGACGTTATCCGGATAAGTCTATGAGTGCTAGTATATTGAGAAATAATATGATTACCGATGTCTAACCCTTGTCGTTCATCAGGCGACCAAATTCATCGTATATAACCGTACGCATACTGAAATAACTAAACCTCGAATGGCTTATTTCCACTGGGATACGTTTAAAATGTGACAGGCTTATTGACCGTTAATTGCAAGTTTGTGCAACTGAGTTCATCTATCCGATCGTGAATCTAGTCATACTTTATTGAGCAATCAACTTACTAACTCGGTCAGATTTTAAACAATCCAATCACTTGGTCACCTCTAACTCCATTTATTTATATTTAAAGTATGATTCACAGTAGTGCAGTTTGATTGTACAGAAAGATGAGGTGACATACTTAAAAAAGCTTGATTGGTTCATTGATAACTCAGACTTCCAGCAGTCTGCAGGTTTTCATTGACATTTGAGGAACTTTGAAAATCACGGAAGCTGCAGTTTGTTGCAATCTATACCAATAGACAAGCGAAGATTGACTATACAATTCAAAGGACTTCCCTGCCGCCGTTTCTATTTGGATAGAAGTTCTCGTCTAGCCCCAGTTAGCTCATGCCATTGACTCCCCTATCCCTTACTTGTCGTCATCATTTATTTTCATTCCCGTTAGATTTAGCAAGTAATTTCGCCTTCATGATCGACCGTTTACTTATTAGAAAACCGTTCCCGGTAAGGTCACACTTTGGACGATGGAATATCTTTCTATCTAACATCATGAACTCACCGGTTCTCAATATATAACCTCCTGCTTTCCGGCGGCTTTCGCACCTATTTTTTTAGTTCACCAAACTCCCAAAGACTTTGTAACTAAGCAAAGCACCAATATTGTGTTCATTCAGTCTTGTATGATCGGGCAAGTGGCCTTATATATGTTAACCATTTTGTAGACAAGTGAATGATAACACGTTAAGCTGCTGTAATTGTGTTCTGACTGGGTTACGTTCTCGTTGTGCGAATGATATTTTTTTCTTAGAAGCACTGGTTCGTTTAATCATAAAATATTCACAATTCATTGATAATGAGCTTGGAAATTCCGAAACAGTGAAATAAGCTCTGCAGATAGATGAACAACTAAAAGTTGTATTTTTTTAGAAATTCCATATTCCGCAGCTTAGGCATTGAGGATATTGTGTCGCATGGCTAGGAAACGTCTGCAAATAAAAGAGCCTAGCACTTGGGAAACACACATCAACACCAACAACCTCATTCCAAGCTAGAATCATTCCGAATATCTTACAGCAAGCATGATGAAAGCCAGTGCCTTGCACCATTTCGATCAATGCCCGGATACAATGAGTTTAGTTGCATTATTAAAGACTCCGTTTTAAGAGGTGATTGGTGAAACGAATGTAATTTGTTCAGCTTCACATTTTTACCACAACAGAATGTAACCACCTTCTGTGTCAAAGAAACTTTGGAATCTAGAAGATGATGAAAATTTGATAGGGTCAAATTCACAACGAAAACAAAATGAAGATAGATTTTTGGCAGATTTAATTTTCGTGGAGATTTTGAAACGTTCAGTAGCCCCGATGGGTTTCGAACCTACACATGAATGCCAACTACGCTTTTGTACAGCGTACCGCAAAGCCACACCGATAGCACTGATCTGTTCACATTCAAATTATCCGTCCAACTTACAGAGGCATATGGCATCCGCATCCAATTAGCATGTAAGCTGACTGCCCCCTTAGAATTCACCGGAGTCCACCGAATGAACATCTAAGTCAAGGTTCATTGTGCAAATGGATGATTGGCAGATTTGATTTTTGTTTGTTGTGATTGTGAAAAGTTCAGTGGCCCTTTGTGGGAGTCCAAAACCCCCTCCCCCATGAACGCCGCCTAGTCTATCAGTGTGGTCTCGTAGCTCAGCTAGTAAAACATGCGCGTACAAAGCGTAGACGGTATCCATGCGTGGGTTCTAATTCCACCAAGGTTACCGAACTTTTCATAATCGCCATACAACAAGTGGAAGGTCAAAAAAGCAGAGCCACACTCAATTTCCGCAGGAAACTCATTCAAATAACTTGTGATTGCTGTGAGAAATTCACAAACGAGGGAAAGCAAACTAATCCGGAGTTGTCGCACATGCATTCGACCTTGTCGGTGAAATGTGGTTGCTCGCATTGAACGCACAGTTACTTATAAATAATGGTATGGTATAATTGGTATGGATTGATTTGCACTAATTGTCCTTCGGACCTCATCACCTTCACATCCAAAGAACTGACCAACTATCACTGTAGTGGACAGCTGAAAAAACGGGAATTGGCCATGTTGTTGAGCTACGGAATAAGCTGGTTGGCACAGTGGTAACACATCATCCATGCGATGGGTCCGAAGTTCAAATCCTGATCGGGACGGTGAGTATGCACTACTAATGAGCTCCAATAAGAGCAAACCTCGAATCTTATGCTCCCGAGTGTATAGCTGAATCAATGAACTGAGGATTGTGTGTAAAGATGAAGTCCGAAGGATGGTCAGTTCAAATCAACTGAAAGGTGATTGAAACGCAACAGTATAAACGTGGCTTTCTGTTTCAATATTGACGGTCGTTTCGATGCGTTTCTAAAGATAGTTGATCGTGTATGTGTTTCTTTTCTTAGCTCTAATTAAATATTTACATTAATCAATAATAAAAGAGAACAGTTAGGTTGAAATGAAAAAATAAAGAACGCCAATTATTATTATTATTGTTATTATTATTATTTTGCAGGATTTTTTACGTCATTTGCTCAAAGTTGCCAAACCCAACGACCAGATAGACGAACATAAACTGATTGAGTATACTTCGTCCATCGTAAGTTATTCGGTGTACACCAATTATCTCCATCTGTTCATTTGCCGTGTGACGAATCTTGTTCATGGAGAGGACAATATAATATACATCTTGTACAGGTGCATTCAACTCCCACCGATTTTCATGTATTCACACAAAGGATTGTATTTCACTAAGACAGAATTTGTGAGCATTGATATTTAGGGGGGGGGAGGGGGCACAAACCAGCGGAATGTTTAGCTGCTCATCAGTATATCTTCTACCTGACTGAGGCGCGAATTCGGCTAAACAAAATCCTGTATCATCAACTATACTTACGGATCCGAACCGGGCAACGTTTCCGCATTTAAAGAAAGCTTAAAAGCCGCTAACCCCGGTGTATGTTATCTCGCTGCTATGATCGAACATTTTCCAGCGTTTCTCATTTTTTGAATCAAGATGTTTGACTAAACACAGCTAATGAGATGCACCACTGTCTGAGGGGTAAACAAGTTCACAACAAGTTTAAAAGCCTCATAGTGATATGAACACAGTGCTCCATTAGGGGTAATGCACGTTTTAAATCTGGACGCATTGTTCAGTCGGCAATATGTGTACCGCGATGGCAATGCACCGCTTCTGTTCATGCTTCAGTACCCTGAGAGCGCAGTCAACCGTAAGAAAGAGCATAACTTGAAAACCTAAAAGAGCGGTATGTTCGTGAATTGCCACTGTATTCACGGATTGTCTGGAATAGGGTGATCGGTGGAAAACTAAAGTCATAGAGCCCACGGATTTGCCAAATCATTAGAATATTTTCTAAAATAAGGATGCATGGATTAAAATCTTCAATGCAAGATTTTTACCCTGTTGGATAAAATATGACAACAAACCTACATTTTATCTTATGAAAATCCATGGATTACATGATTTCTTGAAAAAACTCCGTGTGAATGCCATACCAGTTAAACATTTGTGGTTGTTCGATGAAGGACTGAAGCTGATATAATTTGTAACTCTTGCCGAAAGCGGAAAGCGGTTCATCGCTGTCTACGTCTTATTGCACGAGTCTGGTGGGGTAACCGGGCCAGTAATGCTGAGGTAAAGCGTAAAGTTTTAGGCAGTTTTAGGCGGTCGTCCACTGGAGCCAGTGACCGAACTCCATTGATTACGTTGTTTGGGGCATGCGTTACGTATATGATCAAATAGGCTGTCATAGGGGGAGCGATTTTTGCCGAGGTAGGTAGGGGTTGGAAAAGATCAAGACCTGGCATGAGGGTATGAAAACCCCAATCAGGAGACTCGGTCAAATAGATTCCGCTAGGCTTCCTGGTTGGAGCCCCCAAGATCATTGTCATCGATGGTTAGAGACCCTGAGCGATAGGGCTGGATGTCGCAAACATTTACGCTCATGCATCTACTCATTATTCTCTTAACACCACTCTACGTGAATTGTCCATCTTCCGCTTGAATTTGCTTTCAACATTCCAATCCTCATTCTGCTCTTTTGTCCAAATGGGGCAAAAAAAAACAGCAACCAAAACCGACGCATGTGAATGCATGGTCATTGGTTGTAAAAACGGAACTGAACTACTGGAATTGGCATGACCAACAAAAACCAGATTAATTGGTCAGATCGATGCGCACGTTCAAGCTTCCTCAAATAATTGACTTTCGAATGCTAATAAATACATACGTTTAGGCTATGTGATACCTAGTCCCTGAAATGTTCCAGACAGTAATTAAGTCAGTTTCAACTACTTGTATCTGTGCAATTTCATGCATGAAGATGCATCTCAAGTGGTTTCGGTGATGTGAGGGGGGGGGTGAATTGAGAGAAATGAACAATCGTACATCATATCCCTAATTTTTATAATCCTGTTCTGTGTAGTGAGTTGGACATAAAGTTATTCCACGAAGTCCTTGAGTCTTGATGCAAACAGTCCTTTAGGTGACTGACTGTTCTGTGCTTACGAATGCATAAGCGCGGGGATGATATGCTCGTAGCCGTGAATAGCCGTGATAGATGTTTGTATTAGGTATTTGTGTAGTGCAATAAAAAATGTACCCATTTGTTGAACGTTATTCTTCAACGCTCGGACAAACGAGGAATAAACGGACAACCAAGTTGAGAATACACAAATAGTCCTAGTGAAAGCACACAACTTGTATGGATATTTTCATCGAATCGGTACAACCGCTACCACAGCTGTTGTGAGGTACTACTCACATTTGTGAGTAGTTTCCAAGAGGATGTGATGGGCATTCTACAGAAATGCGCCTCTATTGTTGACCGGTTCCAATAACTATCCTGTACGCGTGTAACAATTCTAAAGACTCCATCCAAATGAGGCATTTTGCTGTTCAAATACTAGTTTACACATATCTTCACTGTTATTCCTAATAAGTAACTACCCTCCTCCAGGCACTGCCTTTTGTAATTATAAACTCACTACTCAACTAGCATAATGTCTGATGGAATGCGAAACTGTCTCAGTAATGACGATGGTCGATTGGATTTTCAAAGTTCTTTTCAAAGTACTCCAGTTGCTTAAAATAATCCGTTCGACCCATAATAGATTACAGAAGAATTTGAATACAAAGTCAAACGGTTTGTTCATATCCATGACCGTATACCAAAAATTGTTCCTGGAATATGTGCGCTATTATGTAAAACATAGATACAACGAGTCTCGAGGTTTGTGCGTGAGGACCCGATCCTATGGCAAACAAGACAGTTATAGAGCAGGAAAATTAAGCGCAACAAAACGCGTAGTGTTTTGAAACTGTGAAAAATATTAGAGCTAACTAACTCTCTACAGGGATGCCTACGAAAGTTCAAAATTATCTGATGCATCACTCGAGAAAAGTCGAAAAAGACAATTTCCCCATTTAAGAAAATTCCGAAAGTTCACCAGGTAATGTTCTACTTGAACCCACTTTGAGCTACAAATAGACCTTTGCCAAAGACTAAATAAACATCAGTGGCCTGTTTCTTTTAGCTTCTTACGACCCAGATATTGATGGATTTGGGGAGTCAGTATAACTGAAGCCTGAACAAAGGTGAAGTTATAGTCTACTTTTATTTTTCTATCTCAGCCAAACCGGCAATCCGCATGAGCGAAATGTGGTGACTTTACTACTCGAAATTAGTCAAATTGATTGCAACAGTAGTCACGAATATGGGCAATTCGCACGGCCAGACAGAAAACCTTTGTGTTGACCGCTTGCCGGTCAAAAATGTACGCATCCCCGACAGCACAGTTCTTAAAATTCTTTATTTCTTTCTGCTTTTCTCGGGGTCAGTGATTTCAGGACCTGAATGAGAATTGTCCAAAGTCAGAAAGATCAAAATAGCCGCATAAAACGAATACACTATGGTTTTATTGTAAGTTGAATGTACTCCGGGCTTTCGCAGCGCAGTAGAGTGAACGGCGATGCGCGATAAGACGTCCCTTGGCACGTATTCTCGCAACAGGAGCCGATACGACGCAATGCGGGTGACGATCGACGGCTGACAATGGCGGTGGACAAGCAGGAAACAGGGTGGTGAGGAAAGAGTGACAGACAGGTCTTCCTTGGGTCACAAGTGAAGGTAAACCTGAAAGGCAAAGCTAAGAAAAAGCCATCTACCAAAGTGATTCAGTGAGATACACGTACTCATTCTGACAAACTAGTAAAATATAATTCAATATGATTGTAACGTTTACAGCATTAGGAAAGACTTGTCAACTTAGTACTAATTAGAAATATTCAGCATCTTCCATGACGGTCTTACAATCATCGTACAGTGTTCATCCGTACATGTTGTGACCAGGATCAATTCACGCTGGCTTTATTTATTTCTTAATAAGTTCAACAGGTATAGTTTGGTAATGCGATTGCACGTACAAGATTTTACAATACACTGTTAGATGCCCGTTGTAGCTTGCTGATTTTAAATTAAATTATTTGGTTATTTCTCCTTCATCTCATCGTATCCGCGCTCAACTACGTTGGACAAAACAACCTGACAATCATACAGCTCGAGCTGTTTGATCAGAACAAAGATGGTAAACTGCAACTGAGCGAAATGGCCAGGTAAGTTTCATTGTTGATCCCAAGGTCACTCTATGCCGCTTTTCTCACGTAATCAATTTCTCCATTTGATTCAACCGTGTTCTTTTGAACAATCCGGGATGATGTAGCACTTTGCCAGGGAGATAAAACGGGGTGTGCAAACACTCGTTAGCGAAATTCCCCAGAGGGGAAAATCCCAGTCTATCAGTCTATAACGTGGGTGCACGCCCAATAGTTGACCTCAAATATGGCCACTCTTTTTAATCGCCTTACCCGGACAATCACACAAAGAGCGCGCGAGAGAGAAAGCTTTGCTCATGCAATCATGCGGAACCAGAAATGGACTCGTGATGATCACGGTCAGATGACTCCGTCCGTACTCCCGTACCAACCCGTATTTACCAGACTTTTTGGAATTGACAAATTGGATAACCATCAGCATTTGATAAATTGGGTCGCACCAGGTCATTAGATTGTCAAGTGATTTGTTCCTCTATTTAAGGTCGTATCTCCGACAGTATGTGTTTATTCATTAAATGCACCTATCATCCGTTTAGTTGTTAATGCGGTACACCGACAGATATCGGAAACTCCTGTAGGTTGTTGCCCGACGACTACTACTTAAAGTATCTTCTATCTGGAGTCATAATGTTTCTGAGGGTTCTCGAATCACTTCAGACTTATGTGCATATTAGAATCACTAGGGAACATGATTGATGAGAGTGAAATATAGTAACTATTTAACCTTTGAAATTTTTTATCAGCCAGTGAATAATGCTGAAAATGTGCAGTCGTTTTTTCAAAAGAATCTTCTCGTAATAGACTGAATTACTTAAGGTTTATTTGCATCGGCAAATTTCACTTCTGTTGGTTTCCACCTTAGGTGGTCCACGTCACCCTACTGACTATAACAAGGTTCCTGAATTTATATACTGCAAGCATCCGATGACTTAGAAAAATTTCCTTTGTTAAATGCCACTTAGGTTGAATGTGTAATTTATTGTGCTATCCTGATTCTCCAGGAAGGGGTCTCCCAATTAATGAAAATTTAAAAAACTAAGGGAATAAAAAAATAATTTTATTTTAGCGAGACCCACAGAAGAACAGCAAACAATAGGCGGTTGTAAAATCACATCTATTTACACACGTAAACATTTACGATTCGTATGATCATGAATGTGGTCCACAATGTTGCTCGGGCTGACAAACGAAAAACTCCGGGTTTGAGTTCCCGCTGGGACACACAAGTAGTACCCTCAGCTAATAAAGCACCACAGCGGTGAACAGAAGCTTCTTCATATTGACCACCAGCAATCGTTAGTTGAAATGATCGAATTTGGTGGTTGTCTTCACAAAACATAATCCATTTCACCTCGGGTGGATAGCTTACTGATTCAGCTTGATTTTGTTACCCGCCGCAGAATGTCTCACAGACTACTGATAAACTACTAATAATTGGATTTCACATCAAAATGGTGCTATATTCAAATAATATTGATTAGCCAATAGAATGCACACCTGAAGTAACGGGCTCAGTTTGGTATTTTCATTAGGTCCGGTACATAGTTTTTTCTAGAAAATCTGAGCGAACGATATTTACTGGAGCTAGATCAAAATGTATGCTTCTTGTTTACATCACATCGATTGTTTCAGTTTGTACAATTAAACCACAATTGTCGAAAGTTCCCTGATAATCAATCGAGATAACGTTGCATGATGCAAATCATCGTCAATTGTGGGAATTAG